ACGGGGCGCTCGCTCTGATTCGTCTGCGTCAGGGTGTAGTCTGGGCAGTAGCAGTGGCGCTCGCTCTGATTCGTCTGCGTCAGGTGTAGTCTGGGCAGTAGCGGTGGCGCTCGCTCTGATTCGTCCGCACCTGGGTGTGGTCTGGGCATAGCGTGGGGCGCTCCTCTGATTCGTCTGCGTCAGGGTGCAGCTCCTGGCATTAACACATGGGCAAGCACCGGAGCTCCAGTGGTCCGGTCCGCCGCTGGCCAGGCCTGGTCCGCCGCTGGCCAAGCCTGCAATTTGCCGATTAGCCGGGTCAGGCAGCCGGAAATTGGCCTGGAAACGGGACGCAGCCGTCCGCTCGCCGCAATTTCCAGCGTTATCTGGGGCAGCGTGAGACGGCGGTGTGTCATTGACCGACCCCTTCCACTGGAGAAAGGACAGGCCCCGCTCGCTGGCCACTGGCACGAGGCTCCACGGCAAAGGCCAGGTCAAGGGGCTTCGGTACATTAGCTGAATGAAACATGTAACGCCAGGTAATTGTGTACGTGGGATACAATGGGCGGTAAAAACGCGGTATCATTTAACATTGAACTCGTTCTGGACGTGTTATGTTAGCCATTCATGCATTCTCGTTTTCGTTCATCGACAGGCTACCAGTCCGTTACTCTCATAGACCAACTCAGTGCAACCAACACCAACCAACAAAGCCAACCAACACAAAGTCAGGCACAACTAAGTTGCAGGATTATTCAAAGAAGCTGAAGGACCACGGATGACTGTTGACCACGGATGAAGGACCACGGACCGACTGTTTTGGTGCCCCGTTTAGTACCCAAGTGACTGATCACACCTGAAGTCGAGAGCTCTACGATACTATCCCGATCATGACGTAAATTGTCGGAGAGAGAGAGAGAGAGAGAGAGAGAGGAGAGAGAGAGAGAGAGAGAGAGAGAGAGAGAGAGAGAGAAGAGAGAGAGAGAGAGAGAGAGAGAGAGAGAGAGAGAGAGAGAGAGAGAGAGAGAGAGAGAGAGAGAGAGAGAGAGAGAGAGAGAGAGTGATGAGAGAGAGAGAGAGAGAGATAGAGAGAGAGAGAGAAGAGGAGAGAGAGAGAGAGAGAGAGAGAGAGAGAGGAGAGAGAGAGAGAGAGAGAGAGAGAGAGAGAGATGAGAGAGAGAGAAGAGAGAGAGAGAGAGAGAGAAGAGAGAGAGAGAGAGAGAGAGAAGGAGAGAGAGAGAGAGAGAGAGAGAGAGATAGAGAGAGAGAGAGAGATCAGAGAGAGAGAGAGAGGAGGCGCGCGAGAGCGAGAGAGGAGAGAGAGCGAGAGAGAGAGGAGAGAGAGAGAGAGAGAGAGAGAGAGAGAGAGAGAGGGGGGGGGGGGGAGAGAGAGAGACGCTCTACTTGCATCGCAGGACCGCTCGTCTGTTCTCGACAAATCCGACGTTGAGAAATAAACATCTTGGCCATCAAAACGGAGCTCCTGTAACGGCTGTAACACATGACGGAAAACGCGATAAAAACTGTAATATGTTGTCTCATGTGACAGCAAACCCATGCGACTGTAAATGATATCGAAACTGGCTGTAAACTCATTAGTAGCGCGCGATGGTAAGCTGACAACATATCATCGCAGGTATGCAGGTGGTGAGGTAAAGTACTGCACTGATATCCTTGGTGGCATGCACAGCGCCGCGCACTAATATCCCTGGTGATATCCATAGCGCTGTGCACTGAGACTCTTGACGATATCCACAGCGCCGCACACTGCGATCCTTGACGATATCCACAGCGCCGCGCACTGCGATCCTTGACGATATCCACAGCGCCGCACACTGAGATCCTTGACGATATCCACAGCGCCGCGTACTGCGATCCTTGACGATATCCACAGCGCCGCACACTGAGATCCTTGACGATATCCACAGCGTCGCGCATTGACATCCCTGGTGATATCCACAGCGCCGCACACTGCGATCCTTGACGATATCCATAGCGCCGCGCACCGAGATCCTTGACGATATCCATAGCGCCGCGCACCGAGATCCTTGAAGCTATCCATAGCGCCGCGCACTGATAACTCATGATGGCGCCATATCGCTGGTGAACATCTGGTAGCGAGCGTCACTTGCTGAAAGCGCCGGCACGTTCGAGACGCGCTCATGTGCTGCGTGAATGCTTGGGCGCAACCGCTGGGGGGGGGGGGGGGGGCTGTGGACAGGGATATGACCTCTCCAGGTTTTAAAAAGTGCGATTTCTTCCTCAATTTTGCCTAAGGAATTGCACGGTCTACCGTCTTTCATACGCAACGCCATTTTCAGATCACTTTGTCCCCACACTCCCGATTGGTCGCCTCTGCCCAATGCGTGACGTCGTTGCTCCGTGGGCGGATGCGGTGCCGGCGCGATGTCCCGCGCTGCCGCTGTGCTGGTCCTCTGTCGACGCTTCGAACTGCACCGACTTGTGTGGCTCAAAGCCAAATGCGAACATTACTGCAGCTCGAACCACCCCACGGGTAACGAGGCGCAGTCCAGCGGAGGTGCTTCGCGCATTTGACTGAAACCGGCAGTCCGGAAAAATAGTGAAGCCCTGTCCAGAACAGTGATGTTGGTGTAATCGAGAACACCGCAATGCTTTAATACCGCACGTTGCAATGCTGCACAATGTTGTGCATTGCAGTGCCTGTGCTGTGCCCCCTCCCCCCTCCGTGACATCACTCCTCGTCCCGGTAAATCACGGTCCCGCAGAGGCGTACACAGGACAACTGGGGGAATGGGGGGGGGGGGGGGGGTAGTAGAACGCGGGCGGATTACGAGGCATACGGATGGCCCTTGTCCCCAATCCTTGCAGCCACCACGCCTGTTCCAGGACCTTCTCACATCACCCTTCCCTGGAACTGCCCCTGCCGACCACCGGACCCGCTCGCGGCATCTTCTGGGCACGCCTCTGCGCTGGTTTACGCCGAACGCCGGGGCGGTTTTATAACGCGCCATTGTCGGTGCACCATACGCTGCACGCGCGTGGGAACCGAGCGCGGTCATTGAAAACGTCGACCTTGTCTGCGGTCTGAGTGAGAACCAGCTCTGGGTCTCAGCGTTCACTGACACACAGAGCTTGCGGTGATTGGTTATCAACGCTGCAGTACAATTACCTCTGCTACGAATGCACACCGACCGCTTGCAGTACAGCTGGTAGTGTCTATGTAGACAATCCATCAGGCAAATACCGTGATAATTGCTGCATCAAGCAAGCAGTGATAGCTATCTTAATAACTCCAGCCGCAAAAAGTTACAACTAGAAGCATGCTCAAACTCCTTGTCATGGTGGCCCATATTATGCAAGAAGATGATGCCGTATAATGCAAGACTAAGGCAAGACTAGACTACAAGGACTGGATCTTCTAGATTCCAGGGTACAAGCATTGAAACAATGAAGCTGATAGGAGCGTGGCGTGGATTCCAGTGAGGTACCAAAGGCTGCAATGAAATCCAAAACGTCTGCGTTGATGTGTCATTGCTAAAACTATCAAAAATCGAGCACGAGGCACGGCCGGTATCCAAAGTATCGCCCCTGGAAGATAGTGCCACAGTGTGCGCGCCGGTGTTGGATAACTGACTACAAACCATGAATGTCCACTATTTAGATGCGAGTCGAGGAAACCGTGCATCACGGCCAAAGAAACATAAATTTGCATTGATCTCTCCATACACTTAAGTCTGGTTAACATGCATAGTTTTGTATTCCGTGTCGAGGGCAGTCATGCAAAGCGTAACTAGAAATAGGTGGGCCATTCCAGTACAAATCGACAGGTAGAGAGGCCAAAATAGCACCCTTTATTTCTAATTTCACTGAAACTGTCAGCATGGAGATGTGCTACCTTCAGAATTCAACTGCGCCATTTTTAGACAGAGCAGAGAAAATGCTCAGTTTTTTTTAGTCGGGATTTTTTAAACGCCAGGCCGTTACAGAACTATGAATGCATTACCAATATTGTCTGAAAAGCGAACAGGCGCGCTTCGGAACGGCACACACCAGCCCTGGATCTCCAGCGTGGAGTTGCCCTCGTTCTCACTCTGCTTGCTATCCTCGTATGCATTCCGTTCACGAACTCGCGCCCAACGTATGTTTTCTTTTCTTTTGTTTCTTTTGTTTTGCTTGCGAGTTCGTATTTTGTTGCCTTTGCGACAACTCGCATCAGCTGGTTCAAGATTATCTCAGAGGGTATCTTATGAGGCATGACATGGAAACGTCACTTTCGCGGAGTCAAGAGTAGGCTGCCGGCTTCGGCCTGGGCATCGCTCTGGAGAAGCCATGTCCCAAGACCTGGACGAGGTGCCGTGCCTACGTGTACTGAAGCCGCGCCTTTGACACACATGTGCTGCATGCGGACCCAGACGGGTCGCTTTGCAAACTTAGTTGCGGGTGTGAGTGGTACAACATGACGCAATTTTTCCCCACAATGCGCGGGACGTGCTGTGCTGGAAGACCTGCGCACACCGAAATCATCACTTTGGGAAACCTCGCGGACCTCCTCACATGACCAACCTTCGGAGGCGATGCAGCACCTCCCACTCTCGAGGGCGAGACCTCCCAGCGCACTTGTCAGTTGCGGAAGCTTCAGTGACCCGTGTCGAATGCAAATACCTTGATATTGTCACTGACTTTCCATCATTTCAGACTCCGTTAGTTGTTTGCAGGTCAAGTTCGTGACCCCTCTCAGTAGGATGATGGTCGGCGGTTTCTACCTCGCCCTACACTTCGCGGTCCCTTGCGCGTTCAGCGCATTTCGAACGCGGACCCCCCGAAAACAAAAATAAACGAGGTTCAAAACCCGTTAAAAATATGTTTCAGTTTTCCTTAAACACACCTCTTGCGAGTTGTTTCGCCTATAGGGAAAAATCCACAGTTTTGCAAGCTGTATGACCTCTGAAACAGCGATCTTTGGCTGAGTCAGCCCCTTCTACGGAGATCATTCGCTGTGTCCGGAAACAACTCAAACACCACGCGACAGAGCAATACAACTGTATTGGATCACGTGATGACACGTGCCGCATTACAAAACACGCGCAACTAAGACACGTGATGGTTGGTTCATCAGCCCGCCGCGTCTGCGCCGTGGCGCACAGGTGTCTGTGCCGAGGTCACGTGACACGCGGGCCACGCGCCCGCCTGCACCGGCCGGCAGCGAGCAGAAAAGCAGGCGCCCGCGGCGGCGACAGCAGAAGACCCATCGCTGCCGCTCCGCTGTGTCGGCGTCTGTATGTGGTCCGCCACCGCCGTTCGCTTGCGCGGCGGTTGATGATGCTCATGACGACACAGTGCGAGTTTGCCGGCGGCCTGCTGCAGATCGACTACGCGAGGAGGCGGCGGATGACGTCAAGATGGCGTCACGTCGCCTCCGACGTGGTTTCCCGCAGCGCGTAGATCTGACGAAGGGGTCCCAAGTCACCACTGCGCTTTGCTGGCTAATGCAAGGGAAACTGGTAAGCTCCGTCCACGAAGTGTCATCGACATCGATACAGCGGCGTTAGTTTAAGGTAAGTCGAAGCTTCAAACCTATCTCCATCAACAGCCTACGTGTATCGCGCGGGTGCAGACATGTTCGGTTCGCCAAGACGTAACTCGGCTTACCACCTTGGCATCAAAACGCACGTCAATAACCAAATAAGAAGAAAATAGAACATGCGCGAAAAGCAGCAGTGTGATTCAGGTAGTGGCTGGTGCCCGACTTGGTCTGCGCTGACGCCTCGTACACACGCTGCTAGGAAACGGAGTATGTGCATACACCCCGAGATCTCGGTCGAGGACATCCCCGTCGTCACCACCCGATGCTGTCAGTGGAGGAGAGCGCGCGGCTGCACCGGCCGGCCGGCGGAGGTGGACCTCACCTGGATGTAGGCCTCGGTCAGGGTGATCATCTGCGGCAGGATGTCCCGCACGTGCAGGTCCTGCAGCTCGTGCCACTTGCCCGTGCCCTGGGAGGCGAGGGGAGGGGGCAGTGAGTGCCGGGATCCGCCGGCCGCGGCGGCCGGGACCAGCTGCATCCAAGTCACGGGGTACCGAGTGACGGTGTGACGGTGTGTGTGTGTGGGGGGGGGGGGGGGTTATAAAGATAATTCGTGATGAAGAGCCGTCGGGGGCAAAGCACACGCGCCTTCGAGAGGGCACTTTTGCCGTCCTATCATTTCATATCCACTGAATGATATCTTAAGTTTCTTTTGTGCTAAAACTTTTCTGCCCGGACAATGTTGCACAAACCCAGCCCAACCAACTTCCACGTACCTTGACGCCACTGCACGCCGTCCCATGATCGTGACACGGACTCCGCGCGTCATCACAGCGCGTAGTTTCAGCTGCTACCTGTCCCGATGGGCGCAATGACACCGGCAGCTGGGGTTCGCTGACACTGTGCCGTGAGTGGCACTGGCACGCGGTGTTGGCTGCCCCAGAGTGGGGCGTTTGGTCGACTCTGGCAGCCGTCGCTGACTGATCGTGTACAGTGCGCTGCGTGAGCCGCGGTGTTCGCTGGTTCCGTGTGGCGTGACACCAGCAGGCCGTGTTCACTGACCCCGTGAAGCGTCTCGCGCGTGTGCAGGCCACGTCAGCCGATCCTGCGGCGTGTGACACGCGACTGTGCAGTCAGGACTGGCCATACACTCCTGTGACCCTGCGCACACTGGCAGGCCAGCAGGCGGTGTGGACTGACCCTGTGCAGTGTGTGGCAGGCCAGCAGGTAGTGATGACCTACCCTGTGCAGCGTGTGGCAGGCCAGCAGGTAGTGATGACCTACCCTGTGCAGTGTGTGGCAGCGGTAGGTCCCCTTGCCGGCACCGGGCTCTCCGTCGTGCACGATGTTGGTCAGCAGGTCATACACGGTGTTGCCGGCGGCGGCCGCACAGTCCGGCGCCAGGTACTCGGCCAGGTCAATCGACTGCGACAGTGACACAGCGAGGTTAATCGACTGCACAGGGGTCACAGAGATCGCCCCGGGGTCACTGCATGTTCACCTACCCTGAACTGGTCAAGAATCAGCAATCTTTACCAATCAAAATCATTGCTTTGCAGGGAGTTGCAACAAGGTACTGCTGGGTTAGGCGTCGAATGTATAGACCACAGCCGCTAGCATCGTCACTCCATACAGAACACCAGGGACAGCAAAAGGTCCCGGAACGAGAATCGAACCCAAGACCGCGCTACAAAGAGAATCTGCAAAACTCTCGGTCACCTGTAACACGATAGCACAGGGTTCCTGCAGGGATAAACATGCTTGATCAGAAGCCAGACGAGGGCATCGACATGTGCCTGGGTCACACGGATGCGACGAGGCTGTCAAAAAGATCAACAAATGGCACAGTCACTGTTTCACTGCCTGGCTGCAGAGAACATACACGGCAAATCGGTCAGTTGTTTTCAAAGTTCACGTCGTTACCTACGGCAAGCGGGCTACATCAATGCCAAAGCAATATACCGAGAACAACGGACATCAGTGCGGGGCAGTCTTCTCGGGTAAGCGGTGTGTTGCGCGCTCGTGATGTGTGACGTCACCTGAGTCATAGGTACCGCGACTACACCTGCGCCGGTTGGAACAGTGAGACAAAGCGCTGATCACGAGATGCCCGACTCCAGGGCTGCTGCTGTGCTGGCTTTCATGCATTTCATTCCATTTCAGCCCCACTGCTGTGTTAGCTTTCATGCATGTCATACCATTTCAGCCCCACTGCTGTGTTAGCTTTCATGCATGTCATACCATTTCGGCCCCACTGCTGTGTTAGCTTTCATGCATGCCATACCATTTCAGCCCCACTGCTGTGTTAGCTTTCATGTGTGTTATATCATTTCAGTCCCATTGCTGTGCTGGCTTTCATGTGTGTTATATCATTTCAGCCCCACTGCTGTGTTAGCTCTCATGCGTGTTATATCATTTCAGCCCCACTGCTGTGTTAGCTTTCATGTGTGTTATGTTATTTCAGCCACACTGCTGTGTTGGCTTTCATGCATGTCGTACCACTTCAGCCCCACTGCTGTGTTAGCTCTCATGTGTGTTATATCATTTCAGCCCCACTGCTGTGTTAGCTTTCATGTGTGTTATGTTATTTCAGCCACACTGCTGTGTTGGCTTTCATGCATGTTACATCATTTCAGACGCACTGCTGTGTTAGCTTTCATGCATATTATATCATGCAGAGACAAACACATAAGCAAGACACGCCCGCTGGTAACCTACCACGGCTTCAACAATACATATATTTTTAGGCATATTCAAGCATGTAGATGCCTGGATGCATTTAACTGTAGTCATCTGCCTGAACAAGCATGTGTCCATCCTTGTACGTCCACCTCATGTTGTGGCCAGTCCCCCACTTTCAGCATGAAGATTATGTTCGCCGACGTTTCAGGTTTTGGGGTATGTAGAGCCACAGAGCATCCACTTCAACCCACTAACAGGGAAATGTGTGTGTCATTGGGGTTTTACGACGCACTCAGCTGCTGGGGCTATATGGCGTCGCCGCCTCTCACCCTGACAGGAAGGGCGGGCACCGCGACGAATCGAGCCCCGTACCTCTGGTTTCCCAGAGCGTAGTGGTTAACGCAGACACGCTAACCACTGCGCAGTTAACGCAGGCATGTTAACCACTACGCTACCCCCACCCCCATTAACAGGTAAGTGAATCAGCAACCTTGACCATTATGTACAGCTTCGATGACCTCAAGCGCCATAACACACGTTGCATCAAACCGAGCTTATCATGCTTGAGAGGGTCCTATTTTTCGCCTACCATTTCAAGCGCAGCCAGTGCAACAGCACGCCACGAGCGCAGCCCACCTTGATGGGGAAGTTGACAATGGTCGGGTTTTTCTCGATGAAGAAGGTGTTTTTGGTGAAACGCTTGATGCAGAGGATGAGGTAAGGCGGCAGGCGCGTCAGCTCGAACCGCTTGACGATCTCCTCCTTGTATGTCTTGTACTCGCGCTCCTCGCGCCCGTTGAACTTGTTCAGTATGGTGAATAGCGACACCTGTCGGCCGAAGCGAAAACTAGCATTTAGTCTCGGTCGAGGGTAGGTTTGTGCGGGAGACGACGCCTTGCCTTACGATAGGTGAAGGTGTACGTCAGTGAATGGCCTATCCACCATAACGGGCCAATGTATGACCTCCGATTATAACGGATCCATGCGTGACCTATTTTCCCCGAAAACCGAACATCTGATTGCACAGAAGCATGGCACACATTGCTGCAACAATTGGTTCCCAAAGCCTTTTGTTCGTTGTTATAGGTCATATCACTATTCCCTATTCCTCGCAAAAGATCACTTCCATGCCAAAATATAATCTCTTCCTTATTGAGGGTAAATCAACTGCAATGTTGGGTGTAACGAATGAGAACTGGTGGAAACATGTCCATGAACTTGGTAGAAATAAAATACATTTGTGTCACTCCGGTCGTGCATGGCCAACCTTGGCATATGCCAGGCTGAGAAATAACGTCATGAATACGCCACTTCTATCCCGACTTGTCCTGCATAGCACGTCGGCCGTGGCTATATCCACACCCATCAGTGCTACACCCACACCCGTCAGTGCAAATGTCATCAGAAGGAAACATAGCTCACGCCGTTCGTTGGAATGGGGTCGTGAAATGCTTGCGCAATACACGGGAATTAAACGGCTGGCTCTCTCTCCCTGGAGCCCGAGGCGTGGCGGACGTGACTACCGCACTCACCTGGGGAATGATGTTCTCCTTGAGCTCATCCTTGAAGAGAGGCGGGGGCGGCAGGTCGGCCATCAGGTACAGGAACGGCGTCTCCTCCAGCACCTCCTGGTACCTGCGGCGCAGATACCTCCCCACGTCACAGCACTGTCCGTGCCCAGTACATCATATTACGATCGTGGATGAGCGTGTACCGTACTCGACGACAGGCCACCAGCGGCACGGACGTGTACCGTACTCGACGACAGGCCACCAGCGGCACGGACGTGTACCGTACTCGACGGCAGGCCACCAGCGGCACGGACGTGTGCCGTACTCGACGACAGGCCACCAGCGGCACGGACGCGTACCGTTCTCAATGCTCCAAGTTACAGCCATTGGTCGGTCATCTAATCTGCTAATCTCTGCCGTCTGTCTGTGCTGTCTATCTCTGTTGTCTCTTCTATTTATGCTGTCTATCGGTAGCGAGACATATTCCGGATGCCCCTTCGAGCGGCGCGTGTGTGTCGACTCACTCTGGCGAGGAGAGCAGCTCCCGCTTCTGCTCGGGTGTCAGCTCCGTCGGCGGCATCTTGCGGCTGTACATCCGCATGCGGCCCTGCGGCAGGCCGAGCGGGGCGTCAGCTCCAGGCCGCCCAGCTCCGGACCGTGGCGCTGATCAGTTCACACATCGGACAGCAGACCAGGCCAGACCACGGACCAGACAACGGACTAGATCAGACTAATTACTAGATCAGGCCACAGATCAGACCAATTACTAGACCAGACCACAGACCAGATCAGACCACAGACCGGATCAGACCACAGATCAGATTAGACCATAGATCAGACCAGTGCCCAGATCAGACCAATTGCCAGACCAGACCACAGACCAGATCAGACCACAGACCAGATCAGACCACAGACCGGATCAGACCACAGACCAGATCAGACCACACACCAGATCAGACCACTGACCACATCAGGCTACATACCAGATCAGACTACAGGCCAGATCACACCACAGACCAGATCAGACCACATACCAGACCAGACTACAGACCAGATCAGAGTACAGACCAGATCAAACCACAGACCAGATCATTCAGGCCCCCCATGACGCCACAATGAGACAGCCCCATCAAACGGAACATACAAATAACGACGCACGAATAATGAAGATGTTATTATACAAACCAACACCAGCATCCACATTCCGCTTACGATCTTGCGCTGACGAGGTTACAACACGTCACAGGTAATGCAAACAAAAGTCCGGCACATGCTGGAGCCGGCACGGGGCTCATCAGAACATCCTCGGGTTTGCCCACTTGGAGCTGCGCCTTGTGCAGCCCCGCTGACGGCCGCGCCGGGCCGGGCCTCACCTGGAACGTCTTGTAGACGATGGACGAGCCGCGCTTCTTCGTGCCGCCCAGCGCCATGTGCAGCGCGTTCAGGAACCACGAAAGGAAGGTGACCGGGTCGCCTGTCGGCCAGGGCGGCCGCCTCAGAGGGACGGGTGCGGAGGTCCGCACCGCCCGGCCAACGACGCACATCACACCAGCGTGGCAGTCTCTCACACCGACTGTAGCGCGTGAAACCAATTCCCCCCTCCAAAAAAAACCGGCAGCCAGTCTCGAGCCCGCCGCCACACGGTCACCGGGCAACCAATCATATCACGCCACGCCACAGCGCTAGGCCTACCCTGGTCGGTGAACTGGAAGCGCTTCTTGCTGCAGAGCACCACGGCCTGTAACATCTCGTGCGGCGAGACGTGCGCCTTGAAGTTGCGCGGATTCCACAGCTTGCGTACCAGCTCACCGAACCTGCCGACAGATGGCTCCAGCTTACACACGGCAGGTCGGAGGGGAGCGGAGCCGGGCTTACACACGACAGGTCTCGGGGGGGGGGGGGGGGGGAGCGGACCCGGGCTTACATATGGCAGGTCTGGAGGGGAGCGGAGCCGGGCTTACACACGGCGGGTCTGAAGGGAAGCGGAGTCGGGCTTACACACGCCAGGTCTGGAGGGGAGCGGAGTCGGGCTTACACACGCCAGGTCTGGAGGGGAGCGGAGTCGGGCTTACACACGCCAGGTCTGGAGGGGAGCGGAGTCGGGCTTACACACGCCAGGTCTGGAGGGGAGCGGAGCCGGAGTTACACACGGCAGGTTGAAGGGGAGCGAAGCCGGGCTTACACACAGCAGGTCTACGGCTTGCCATCAGCCACGGGCAGGTGCCGGGGCGGGCTGGGTGGCGTGCATAGCCGTGTGCTGCGCGCAGGATGCCTACGTAGACGCCTGTATCAGCTGGCTCACACCACGTCCCAACACGTGTGACGGCGTGACAACAGGCGTGAAGGCACGAAAACAAGCGTGACGGCATGAGGACAGGCGTGACGGCATGAGGACAGGCGTGACGGCATGAGGACAGGCGTGACGGCATGAGTACAGGCGTGACGGCATGAGGACAGGCGTGACGGCATGAGGACAGGCGTGACGGCATGAGGACAGGCGTGACGGCATGAGGACAGGCGTGACGGCATGAGGACAGCGGCGGCATGAGGACAGCTGACGGCTTGACAACAGACGTGACGGCGTGATAACAGACGTGACGGCATGACAAGAGGCGTGACGGCGTAACAACAAGCGCGACGGAAGGCCACAGACCGGCGCATGCTGGCTCTCTTTCGGGTCTTCCCAAGCTAGCCCAAAGCTAATCCCCGTTCATCGTCATCCACTTAACATCCACCTCCCTTGTTCGTCCCTCGCTCTTCGAGCGTGTGCCCTTAGCTGACCGGGAGTCTGGCCCCGGCCTCACCCCCGTGACCTCCGCTGACCGGGAGTCTGGCCTCGACCGCGCCCCCGTGACCTCCGCTGACCAGGAGTCTGGCTTCGGCCGCGTCCCCGTGACCTCAGCTGACCGGGAATCAGGCCTAGGCGGGGCCCCCGTGACCCGGCGACCGGACCGCGACACCGACTGACCTCTGCACCAGCAAGAACATGTTGTCGCCCGGCGGCGGCTTCATCCAGTTGTAGTTGGACTCGTTGAGGAAGTAGTCGCGGATTGGCACCACGTTCGACAGCGCCTGAAGGTACGTGGAACAGCTCTCATTCCGCGGCGGACCACAGGCGGGTAGACGTGGGATCATGGGATCATATACATGGGATAATGGGATGGAATCAGTCAAGATCACGGACCAGATCATGGGATAAACAGTACACATGGGATCATGGGATGATCACAAGGGATCAGTCCCCAGAGCCGCACGACAAGCAACGACACGCGACTGGGATTGGACGCGTCTCATTCCCGTGCCGAAGTCGTCTCTGCCCGGCGCTCCGCCCTCGCCGCCGTCAGCTGCCGCGGCTCCGCCCACGCCGACGCGCACCTGGAAGATGACGTTACAGTAGTCGTTAGCCTTGATGTTGTTGAGGCCGACCGTGCCGGGCATGTAGTTGGAGCCGTCGTAGGCGCGCGACAGCTTGGTCTGCGAGTCCAGCTTGGAGATGGCGGCCGCCTCGAAGGTCGGGTTCAGCACGTACTTGATGTCCTCCAGCGACGAGTCTGCCGACTCGCACCGCGGTCAGAGACGCGCCGGGACGCGCCGTCCAGTGGAAGGCGCGGAGGGGGCGAGCATGTGTGCTGCGCTCTGGCGGGCTGCCAAGCGGTAGGGTGACTGACACGCGGTCAGGCTGCTACCGTATGTCCCGAAGGTGCAAGATTTCGAGCGGTCACTTTATTCCTAGGTTAAATTCTCCCCAGTTCATTCCGGCCCAATGGCTTATAGACTTTATAGTGCGCGTAACTGGGATGAACAAGAAATCCTTCATGAAAGCAGTATCCTAGCCAGGAGGAAGATGGCAAATATGATATACACACATATATATATATATATATATATATATATATATATATATATAGTAATGTGAATAAATAAATACAATATACACAAACAAATATAAAATATAACATACATTATATAAAAGCATCTAAAATATAATTACGATAAATAAATATAACTAAAATATGGGAACGAACATTTGTCGCCGTAAGTATATTTTAAGGGATGTGTGAGCAGCTTAAAGTCGTCACAAAGAGGCAACGCCTCAACTACAATCGTCTCAAAGCGGTACACGATAGACCACGGTAAGCAGTGAGCTTCCCACAGAGGCCAAAACATCAGGCGACACCATATGTCCCGCTTTCTCCATGGCCCAAACACTAACGTAACATCAGTCGCCATCTCCGTAAATTATCTGCACTGTCCCCTGTCTACGAGCCGCCCTGCTCCGGGCTGTCCTGCATTAAATTACGCCCTCCGCTGGTCCGCCAACCAGCATTTCCCCGATGATAATTATCACCGGCCGCGTGTCTCGTCCCGGCTTCTTATTTAATTAAATTATCACCGATGATCTCGTATTGGTCCGGCAGGCAGTAGAATCGCAGTGTTTGCAGGTTGAGGAACACGTGGTGGCCCTCGCTCACGCTGTGCGTGTAGGCGTGCGTGCTCTGCCCGCGGCCTGGCGGAACACGGCCAACGGTGTCAGTGGGCAACACATGAGGATCGAACAACACGGGCACCGCGTCAGCAGATAACACACGGGAATCAATGACACGGGAAACGTCAGCGGATAACACACGATCAACGACATGGGCACCAGGTTCACTGGACAACACACGAAGATCGAACGACACGGGCAACGGCGTCAGTTGACAACACACGAGGATCGACGACACGGGCAACGTCAGTGGATAACACACGAGGATCGACGACACGGGCAACGTCAGTGGACAACACACAAGGATCAACGACTGGGGCAACGGCGTCAGTGGACAACACACGAGGATCAACGACCAAGGCAGCGGCGTCAGTTGAAAACAAAAGCGGCCTAGCAACGCCGCGAATCGACGTCCGTTGTCCGCATGACAACTCGACGGCGTCAATTATACATTTGAACAGACGAACGAGCACACGACCGCCTGCGCTTATCCCCATGACAACGCACGTTATGACATGTGCCTGATTCAGGTCACCGCACCTGTCGCAATACCAGCACTGCATAATGAAAAAAGGCACACTCACCTTGAAAGTACTTCCCACACACCAAACAAGCATATACATTGATTCTTGACAGAGATACCGAGCAGAGCTTTTCAAAATCAAAATCAAGCACGTTTCTGTTGATAGTGTCCAAATATGGGCATTCTTTCGCCAGCTTCGTTTCTGGTGTTTTCTCTGAAACACAGCCATGAAGCATTGTGTGTCACTCACTCAACATAGTCATCAAGAAGCACTCTGTTATAAACAAACTTAGGCATTAAGCATACACAAACCTAAAGTCATGCCCAGTCATCACTTTACAATGAATGACCAAATTGTCACCAGATGTTTCACTGAGCACCTTCTGAGCAAGTTGAGCACTCTGAGTACATTCTGAGCACTCTGAGCATATTCAAGGAAAAGACCATTAAGTACCTAATCACATAAATGGCCACAATGCCTAATTCTTTGGTTGAGTGCACTGAGAGAACATCCTACAACAGGAGTGAGCATAACCAGGGTCACAGGCACCATTACTGAGTTCAGTCAAAGCCCCAGGCATTCCTTGAATGTTCAAGCAAGTTTTTAATGTTGGAGTTGAGAACAAATGACCATGCACGCCTCTGGCATACCAAACACAATTGGGGGAAGGGCACTGCCAAGGAAATTGGTGTTAGTTGGAGGGGGCCATCAGCTGGAGACAGACAACTTTCATTTAATTCTATATGAAGATCAACTTAAATTCTATCAAATCTGGATGATTGAATTTAATTCAATTCAATGTTTCTTCCCATATGTTTCCAAGAAGCTAAAAGCTGGCAGGAACAGTGTTTTTTGGCTTCACCCAATGCTGGACCTTTTATTTCACAGCATATGTAGCGCACCATGCTCAAGCAAGAGGAAAAATGCTCACTGGTATAAATTGAATAGCACCAAACATTTTTTTTATATTCTAGGCTTATGTCAAGAGGGAATCAAAGTATTTCACATCACTATAGTAATACAACTCTGTGTGCTGCTTGACATATTCATTTATTTAACTACTTAAAGACACTACTTATGTTGAAGCACTCTTAACATTTAACTGACCACGCTATGTCTGGGCAGGTATATGATGTGGGCTCTGCCAAATACGAAATCGCCTCTCTTATTCCAAGAAAAATTAATGCTCTACTTTCATTAAGCACTGCTGGCCAAGGGGCACTTAGTTTGCTCAGTGTCATGTTCTTCATGTTTGCAGCTTGAGACCATGTTGCAATATGGTTGTTTTGAGTGTCCTAACTATAGAAGTGTCTGGAACAGTAGAGCCAGTTTCCATGCATAGAGCAGAAGGTTGTGGAAATGAATATGAGGATAAATGATGGGAATTCAATAGCAGCAAATTGCAGGCTAATGCTAGAAACTATGTTGAGGACCTCTTTTATACCAAGATGGAGAAAAACCACTGAATGGACCTACTATTATCACCACCATGGGTACTCCATTAAAAAAGGGTTACCATATGTAATGGAATTCAAAGTTTAAAAACCTCAAATGCTGCAAAGTTGTCATTGAAGAGCACATTACAACCTTGCGAGTAACCCAAACTTGCAAGAAATATGTCACCTCTCCAAATGCCTGGGTCGCCTTATGAGATGCCTGGCATACCCTTGTGCCACTCTCATTTCACATACACCATCTGACTTATCCCTTTGATTGATTTACAAAAATTGTGGTCACATTCATTTGGTATTACCCTTGCAGCATGCTCGTTACTTAAAACAGAGGTTCCTCATGAGCTGAAGTCAGTACTGGCTGTATGCCACACTCAGATGTACCGCACATGTGCCCTAGACTTGTTCACACAGTGTTGCTGGTCTGCTGGAATATCATACACTTCTTACAGACTGGTCCTTAGTCAAGTTGCACTTATAGCAGCATTTTAAGGCTAGTATGTAAACCTCCCTCCATGTACTTAAATGTTCGCGCAACTTATGTTGCTTTTGAACGTCACAAGGGACTCTTACTTTTGGCGACAGATGATTCAACTTCATCGGGTTCCTCAACGTCCTCCAACTTCTGCTTCTTTGGCAGCGGCTCAGAACTGTTGTCCTTACTCTCCATTTTCAAAATCCGTCACAGCTTATTGCTTAGACGTAAGCCTTGCTTTAAATAGGTCCTTTATGGCAACGTTTAATAGCAACGAGCGGCACCAGCGAAGCCGGCATCCGCAGGGTCGTCAAGGTCTATGCAGCTGCGGCAACATCAACGATTGCTACACAAATGATTCAAACATGGCGCAGTTGTTGCAAACTAAACGCATTTTGCGTCCATATTTAGAAACTTGATCGCTATTTTTCTTGGTGTGGTGCTGTGCGATGAGGGAACTTCCGTCGGACTCCTCGGTTTGAACGCGTGTAAATCGAGTCATAGATACACGTGCATAGAACGGTTGTTGCTGCGTTGATAACGGTACGTCGTGGTTTATACAATGGCCGGCTTCTGAGTAAGTCCACGCATAGGGGCGGATCCAGAGCGGGGGGCGTGAGATGGGGCAAGCATGGAGCTATGCCCCTTAGGCCCTAAACAGACGCAGTTTCTTTTTTTACACAGACTGCAACAAGATTGGACGTCTTTCGGCTTTCAGGCAACCAAGAACAGCGGCAAGAACAGTCGCAGAACAATCGAAAGTGAAGGGCCCACGAGTACAGAGGGTGATGCTTGGGGAATTTTAAGACTCATAACGGTGCTCAGAGGCCTTGCGCTGCTTCCGGGGGCCCTATATGTCCGCTCGCAGGGCCGATCCGACAGGTAATGTGAGGTTTGGTTCGCTTTTCGTTTTTGGGGCCTTGTACTTCGTCCTTGATTTCTTTGCATATGGTCAGAGGGCCCCGTGGTGTTGCTGGGGCCCTTCCTGCTAGCTTGTCGGGCACTCGGTAATCAGGGGCCTTCCATGATTTGTTTTCTTTTGCCCGAGAACTTCATACGCTATAGCCGGAGGCCCCATATGCTAACCTGCCAGGGTATTCTCGGCTGTTCAAGGGCCCCTCATGTTGGTCTCGGTTAACCCGCTGACACTCTCGGTAGGCTCATGGGCCATCTTCGTTGGTCCTGGGCCCTTTCAATTCGCTACCACTTGCTTAGGGCGCTATGTTTTTGTCGGGGTCTCTTCTAATAGCCTGCTTGGATACGCTCGATCGTGTGCGGCTCTGCACACTTCGTCCTGGGTACTTCTTAATTCTTGGGTAATTTCGATTTCGAACCTCGTCCTGGTAGGTCGAGAAAGTCGGGAGCCCCGGGAGGCTGTGGGTTAAGCTTCTGGTGTTTCGGAATTGTCAATGCTAGTGGCACGACAGACCGAATCACAATAAGTGGGCCTCAATATGCCGAAAGAAGCCACCAGGTACATAACAAACAGCAAAATCATTGTATTTAAAAGACGTTTCGATTCCGTGCTGCTATCAAGTGTGAGCAAAAAACAGATGCAACACTCGAATCACAAGCCAAGATAGGTAGCGGAGATAATTCCCCATCCCGCAGACAACGCGACTACCGACAAGGGAACAGGTGGCTTGACCTTTACGCGCTTCGAGCAATGTAAGCGCTGTATTATCATCCCTTCCTGGGGAGCCAGATAGTCAGTTATCGAATTGCTGCCCCAGACCATAAAGGTGAGTACAAAAGGCATCGATGACTCGTACCACACCGAGTTGATGTAGTTGGCTGTGTTGGACTTGGCAGACCTGCTCTCTGCCAGCTTGATTAGCGTGGTGGATGCGCCTTTTTACAAAGAGCGTCTGTTATAATTTGTGGCAGGTGGCTGGTATTGCAGCAGACCCGCGGGTGTGCCCCTCACCGTCACCACGTCACCAGCTGAAAGGAGTAATGCTCGCTGCCATCCGCTCGCACCACCGCCGCCTCCGAGCTCCGCCGTGTTGGCCGTCTGTCTCCTCCGCCCGTCCACGTCCAGCAACAACCAAGCCGCACGCAGAGCGCCACTCATAAAAACGCAGTCAAAATGAGAAGAAAAACCGTCAAAAGACGCATAGCGTAAGCAAATACTGTTTGATAGCTTAATCAGCCCCTCTCCGTGGCGGAAGATTGATCATTGTCGGGGTAGGAACCTCCGACTCAGTGTTCTCCACCGTTTTTAGGGCCCTCCACACGCGAGGCGTCACCATCGCAGCCTTTCAGGGTGTTTATCTAAATTACTGCCTTATCGCCGTGGCCTGTGCGTCACCGTGAAGCCCACTGTCGTTTGAAGCCTTCGACAGTCGTGCCAGCTCGGCAATGGGCGCATGGTTAACCTGAAATGCCACTAATCTCGACGCATTGCCTGCTTGCCGATCGCTTTCCGTGATTCCGTTTCCAATCACGCTTTCCGTGATTGAGATCCGTGAACACATATTGAGAACCATGAACACGCATTGAGATCCGTGAATGCTTATTAAAATCCGTGATCTCAGATAAGATCCATAACGTAGTTATCCATCCAAGTCGTACTCTTTGCTGACATGCTATACACGCAACTAAAAAACATCAAGGCTTCCGCCGGATTTCAACTGGAGCCAGAGGCGCAGCCAGAGCCTTGGCAAGGGTGGGGGGGGGGGCACAGGGTTGACAAAGTGCCCCCCCCCCTGGTAAAATAGCTCCACCAAAACAAGTCGCCAGATGTGCCCATTTGTCATTGAGGACAAGTCGTTTTAAATATGATATATATGTATATATATATATATACATATATATATATATATATATATATATATATATATATACATATGTATACGATGCACTTTTACATCTTATAACTGGAGTATAGGCCAGACCCTAGAGCGAGATCAATTCTATTTTACTTTTATAGTAGATAAACTGAAAAAACATTCATTAAATGATTACTTGAAACACATCCCCGGCGCTGCCCATTTTCAAATGTTTCATGGGCTGTTTTTAAACTAATAGAACTCCTAAACTTTGTCAGAATGTGTATCTGGGCTGTACAGAGACAGCAAGGATTCTGCGAATGTGGATTGGGGGTCAAAACGGGTCAACTATTTGTATTAACATGGCTTGGGTATGTTTCTCTTGATATCGTCAGCATTCAGTTCGAATTAAGTAGTAGAAGAAATAATGTAGCGTAGCTTTGCGCATGCGCACTCGTAAATCTTAGCAACAAAAAAATCGACGCCAGGCGCTGCAGTCTCCGTGGGCCGCGCAGCGTCGGCTCCGCGGTTATTAGTAGGCAACGGCCAACACGTGGACGAAAATGTTTACAAATTTGATAAAAGTACCTTTGAACGCTTTAGGACACCAAATCGTACATTTAGAGACATTCCGGGTGTATATTTCGCCTGTGCGGTTTTTAGATTGATGCCAGTGACGCATTGGTCTTTACAGTATCGCGAAGTGGTGCTGGAATCTAGTGGTGGAACTGTGAGAGTAAAGGCAAAATATGTATTTTCCACGCCGCTATAAGTGTAAATCTGTCCAGAGGACATCCTCAAAGATGTAAAACAGCAAATCGTCCAGTGGAGTCTTTGAGCTGTACGAACTGCTTTTGAAACACATTCAGAAACATTTTACGATAGTCATCGTTGCGCGCTCGGCGCCCGCCCTCCGGCGTTACTTGCACTGGCCAACACCGTTCCGTCTTACGAAATTTGCAACCCAAGCCATCGCTATCCTCGCTCAGCGAGATCACGGTCGTATCATTGAGGCTTTATGACGCACTCAGCTGCTGGGTCTTTATGGTCCACCAGCCTCTCACCCTGACGGGAGGACGCGTACCGCAGGGAATAGAACCCCGTACCTGTGGCTTCCCAGACACGCAGTGGTTAACGCAGGCGCGTGGACCACTAAACTTTCGGCACTCGGCACGCAGGCTCAAACATTTTGATGGCATTTGTTTCACCAGTCGATTCCGCAAAAGTCTGAACGTTCTCATGGAAACACGGGATGGCCTTGTGGGTTTTGAATTCGTTTCGACTCACCCCGTTCAACACTAGTGGTACCACTCATTTTTTCCGGTAAAGGGGCCCCCCTGAGTATAACATTACGGGGCACATCGTTGTTCTCGGTCAAGGGCTGAAGGGCTATTTTGTCCCATCGTGTGTGTTTTCCGTCCGTCATTCTGGCGACACGGAGTGGCACCCCCTGGCCGATCCGGAGGCCGTTAGAGGGATGGTACATCATATCACATTGGTCCGCTCTCTGACACAGGAGGCTTTCTGACCCGCGCAGTTGAACCCGGATCGATGCATGAACTGGCATCAGCGCAACGACATCCCTGCCCGCCGCAGATGGTCCAATAATTGGCACATGAGTCCAGTTGGGCTGACGGGCCATGCTGGAATAGGGATGGAGGGCCAACTGTTCGGTACTGGGGCTCCTGACTGGCACAGGACTCTTATTACCTCAATGTGAGCAGCCATCATTGGCTCTTGTCTTTCCTTTCATTGTCAGAGAGCCACAACCAATGCAAGAGCCCCTATGTCATTCGTGGTCCCGTCCTCATCCCTGTTGAGCAAATCTTCCCCTGACCGAGCCGAGGCCCCTTGTTGACACAGAATGCCCTGTTAGGCACTGTGGGCCTCTGAACGATATAGGAGCCCGACCCATGTAAATCGCAGGCCAGCCTTGCCCCTGTTTGGGAAATGGGTCCCCAAGAGCTCCAACCACCACGGAGCCGACTGTTCGCTGTTCGTGATCTCTGGCTGAACTAGAGGAACGCTCTGGCTTAGCGGTCCCTATCGGCGCAATAGATCATCTCACTGAAATTTGAGATCACAGCGCTATGGGTGGGGACCCTTAAGGTGTCCTGCGGCCAGACCTTTTAACCCTCCAGCCATTCCATTGGGCCCTTAATCTTTGGCCTTGAGAGGCCCTTCGGCCCCTGTTCGGACCCTTTTAAACACGGCTCGGACTCGGAACCCCTTGCCGCCGCAGGAGCCGGCACATTGGCCCCTAACCGACACAGGAGCCCCTCATTGTGTCAGGAACCCCGAACATTACAAATCGCCGGCCCCGGCCTCGTTTCTGCTTGGAAAATGGGTTTCAAGGGCTCAGACGGACGTGGAGCCGACTGTTTGGCGTTCGTGGTCTCTAGCCGACTTAGACGCCCGCATTGTCTCAGGGGTTCTTCAAACGGCTCAAGAGGACCTCTGACTAATATGTCAGGTCACGGCCCTTCAGACCGCGATTCTGTATGTGGCCTACAGCCAGTCCTTCGGGCCATCATGCCCTC